CGTGCTGCTGTTTAACCCCTGGTTAAACGGCATCAATAGGGAGGTGCCTTCAGGCCACGACGTTACACAGCTGTACGAGGGTGGCGTGCATGCGTCAGCAAGGCTGGTCGCCTATAAAAGCTAGAAACGGACTGGTCTGCGGGCTCGGTATCAGCTCACCAAGCAGCCAGCAAGATCTCCCGCTGGATCTGACGTAGCTAGAAAACTTTACAGCGATTTTCGACGTCGAGATGGCTGATCCAGCGGCGACAATCATGTGGAAGTTCGTTCTCTACAACGTCACAAGATGGATTGTCCTCCGTCCGTAGCAACCACGACGACATTGACGGCGGCCACTACCGGTAGCAGTAGCGGTGGCGGACTCGTCCTGGACCCAGGCTCTCCAGGCGGCAGTGCAGGCGGAGGTCAGGCTCCTCCAGCCAGGCCCCTCTGCCTCAGGAACTCCTCCCCTTTCCGCAGCATCCTCAGTGACCTCTGGTGAGTTGACCGCCCGGTGCGGGTGGTACGAATGTTGCCGGGCCTACACGCGCTCCAGGCTCACGCGGACAGCACAGGCATGGGAGTCACCAGCCGCGCAACTCCGCTAGGCCGGGCAGGCCTATAGATCAGCCGCCCAATCCAATGCCAAGCTAGGCCGGGCAGGCCTACAGTTCAGCCCCGCAATCCAGGGCCAAGATAGGCCGGGCAGGCGTACAGTTCAACCCCGCAATCCAGGGCCAAACTAGGCCGGGCAGGCCTATAGTTCAGCCAGGCAATTCTGTGCCAAGTTAGGCAATCTATAGGCCTTTTACAGACCACTGCGCCCCAAGAGTCTCGGTGGTCTTGCTTTGCTCTCCTCTGCCTTGGGCCTGCTTGCCCTAACCCTGCCCAGCAATGGGGCAGTCATCAGTCCTGTCACCCACTCTGTGGGTTGACCTTCCCTTATCACGGTCTATCTCATACCACCCCTCCCATACAATACCCTGCACCCCACTTTAAACCTATGGTGGGTTTCTCCCTTACAGGTGTTGCATTGATACCCCTGGGTGTCTTTCCACCGGCTGCATCCCTAACAGGGCTGCCAGTGTTTGCACCAAGCACCACGGTGGCGTCCACCTCCACCACGATGGCCACCTCTGCAAACTTAACCTCCCCAGCCCTTGCTGCACTACTTCCCATCCCCAAAGCCCACAGGGGAGGGAGCTGTTGTCCTCTCATCGGCCCTTCCACCAATCAGTGCTAAGCTGACACAAAATATCAGGTCGCGGCAATATGTTGCCATGAAGGAGCTGCTCTCGGACAACATGGCCCTACAAAGCCAGCTGGAAGAGCTACCAGCACAGACTGCTCTAGCAGCCCGCCCCCATCACCTGCGAGAAATCGAGTCGCCATTGTCATGGGCCTTTTGCTTCCTGATGTACATTGCAGTCTGCACCGGCGACAAGGAGACCAGGGACATGTTGGCATATGCGAGACTGGTCATCCAGGAGGCCCAGTGTCGTGGCAGGGCTGGCTGGTTTGAATATGACAAGTGGTTTCGTCGGCAGCAGGCAGCTCTGTCAACCCCACAGCCTTGGAACGAGCTCATGGTACCTGTCCATCCGGTTGACCACTGCCTGCTGGGTGTCCGCTGGGGTGAGGATGTGTTTGTTGACACAGCCCTCCCCTTTGGTCTTAGATCCGCCCCCAAAATTTTTTTCGCTGTGTCCGATTGTCTAGCATGGATCTTACAAGCGAGGGGGGTTACCCACCAGCTTCACTATCTGGATGACTTTCTGCTGGTTGGGCCGCCAGACACGTCAGCCTGCGCCCAGGCACTGCAATTCACCCTGGATACATGTCAGGAGCTGGGATTACCGGTCTCTTCCCACAAACAGAAGGGCCAAGCTGCCAGTTAACGTTCCTGGCCATCCAGATAGATACCACCCGCATGGAGCTGAGCCTCCCCCCAGACAAGCTGGCATGCATCTCAGCAACAGTGTGTGAGTGGAGAGGCAGGAAGGCCGCGACGAAAAGTTCAGCTACAGTCCCTCATACAGGGCTCTCAATAACAAAATTTTCTTGAGGGTCTTAGTGGGGGGTCTAATATGGAAATCTGGGGGTCTCTGAAGTGTCTCAAGGGTCAAGATAAAAAATGTATCAGTACAACAGTCAAAATGAAATAAAGCATGAAAGAGTATATACAAAGACAGAATGATGACGTAGTTATTTCCTTCTTTGCTTTGCTGTGCAGAAATTTAAGGCTGCCTGTCTAACATCAAATTCCTCTGTTTGTGGACCCTCCAGTCTTACCCGAATGAGTTTCTCTAATAGACTTGCTCGGTGTTTGGTCTTGACTAGATTCTGTGCCGAAAAGGCTCTCTCACAAGAGACCTATGTTACAAGACTAACACTAAGTATCTGTGCTAATGTAGCAAATCAGGGAAAGCCTCTGTGTGCACAAGCTGCTGAGGACTTGTTCGTGTGATTTATTCGAAGGTGATTTCAAAAAATGCTTGAATTGTAAATAGTCATTCTTTGTGCGATCAGGGTCAATTAAGTTAGGAACTGTATCATCTTCAGCTTGTTGACTCTTTCCATATATAGAAGTCGAGTACGTGTGTTAGTGAGTCTTCCCCATACACTGGTAATCCTCGAGTTGTAGTATCCAAACGAGTTGGGTTAAGTATTAGATCTAAATGTTCTAGAATACATAGAGACTCCGCATCAAACCGTTTGTGAAGATTCGATTCTAGCTTATGTAAGTAGTTCTCCTTTTCTTTTGCAAATGATGTTCGCAAGTTCTCAGTATTTACGTATGGTAATGTTCCTGTAAGTTGTTTTATCACCCACTTCTTCACAGACCTTTTTAAGTACAGGTCCATTCGCAGCCTTGTAGGTTCCAGTACTGCTAGTGTGCACTCTAGTGTACATACATCAATATTTTCTTCCTGGAAAATCTTTCTTACAGATTCCAACAGTAGTGCAGTAGTAAGCACAAACTTCACAGACTGAACTTTGTGTAACAAGCCCTTTGCATCAGCAACTCCTTTGGAAGCTGCTTCCTGATCCAACTCCAAGGATACACAGAAAAAACTGCTTTTACAGCTTGGTGCAGTGAAAGCCATCGGAAGCTAGCGGGCTTTTTCAGTGCGATAGTTCGTATATTTGGGTTGTCATCCAGTACACACTGGAGCTCCATGAGAGAATTGTAGCGGACTGCAGAGCTACTGTAGAAGAAGTAAACATGTTTGATAGTACGCTGGAATTCATCAAAATATGGCACTGACTTGAAAGCATTTGCAGCCACTAGGGCAAGGCGATGAGCTACACAGTGAATTTGCACAAGATGTGGACAGTAGGAAGTACGAAGTCGAGCACCCACACCATTTCTTCGGGCAACCGTAACGCTGGCCCTATCACTAGCTAGAGAAGTAATTTTTCCAATGCTGACACCCTTTTCCTTGAGAAATTGTAGAAGGGAATGAACTATGGTTTCAGCCTTTCCGTCAACAATGTTCATATCTCTAGCAAAATGGAGGGAGGGAACACCACTAACTGTATCTACCAAACGGATGTATATAACCAGCTTTTTATAAATAGTAGCTTCAGTAGATTCATCAATGACTGAAGCAAGGAATGGTGATGTATGTAGCTTTCTGTCTAAATCCTCCTGAATTGTAGTATATATCAATATATTCCAGCTCCAGATGCAACTGATGGCTAGTGAAGTTTGCAGAGATTATTTAGTGGTAGGCAGTTTTTCACAACACAGTACATTGTCTGTACTGTACTCAAGCAAGAGATCTCTTCTGCTGCCCCTGGACTTGTTTCTCAGCAAGCTTCTAAAACCTGCCTCTAATGTAGACTTCTTGCTGATCTTGGCATGCCAAAACAAATTGTATGCTCTGGATTCTTAGATTTCATTGCGTGTAAAAGTGAAGATTTGTAACTTCCAGTTCGAAAGGGTTTTCCCCTCCCTCCCTACACCACTGCATAACCGCCATAACACTACCGTCATCGCTCACTTTCCTTTCCCGCCATGGAAGCTGTTTCTCCCACGTAGGTTGCCATCTGCGAGTAGTTTTGCTTGTGGCAGGCTCAGTCAGTTCTGTCGTACATTCAGGGTCTTCTCTGGAGTGAGCGTGATCGCTCGCGCGTAGTCCGAGGTGTGGATGTGAAATTCCTCCGTAAAGCCATACTGTCTCCTCCGATCCACGTGTGTGCCACGCATACGCGTAAACACGGCGTGTCCGCTCTAGCGCGGTGCGCAATCGTGGTAAAAGTAGAGTACTTCCACGCGCGATCAACGCATCGATTTTCTCGAGCGTCCGCCAAGCCCCGAGGGTACTAATATAGAGGGTCTAGAGTAAATTTCGGGGGTCAGAGGCCCGGTACCTCAGGCTAGTGTGCTCATAGGTACCCTCAGTCATGCAGCCGCAGTTCTGGTCATTTCTGGTCGGGCTTTTCTGAGGTGCATGATTGACACAATGAAAATCCACAGGTGCCAGCACCATGACGTGTGACTCAACCAGGAGAGTTTCAGTCAGACGTCGAGTTGTGGGCGTGCTTCCTCCCAAGCTGGAATGGGAGGTCAATCCTCCCCACACCGCAGGTTGCGCATACTTTTTGGTCAGGCGCATCCAGGTCCTGGGGGTGCGGAGCTCTCAGTCACACCCTAGACTGGTTCTAGCTGCAGTGGTCGGACACCTGGAAACAGCACCACATAGCAGCCAAAGAAATGGTGCCAATAGTAGTCACGGTGGCAGTATGGGGACAAACTTGGAGCTCTTCCACAGTCCTCGCATTTTCAGATAATATGGCAGTGGTCAGTACCATATCCGCAGGACTGGCCCCGGATCCGCTCCTCATGCACCTTCTACAGTGCGTACACTTCTTCTGTGCTCACTACGCCATAGTATTGTGAGCCCGACACATAGTGGGGTTCAGAATACCGCGGCATATGCACTATCTAGGGACAAGTGTGATGTCTTTCTGTTTTGTGCTCCACAGGCCCCACTAACACCATTGCACATACCCCAGTCTCTGCTAGACATGCTGCTACTCAGCAAACCCGACTGGACATCCCCCAGGTGGAGGACGCTGTTTCTAGCTACCTTGCAGGAGCTCTCGCCCCAGCAACACTGAGGGTGTATGGCTCTGGTCAGTGCTGCTACATCGCATTTTGTTCAGCAGCGAATCTCTCTCCAATACCACTAGTGGAGCACACACTATGCATGTTCGTGACGTAGAGTAAGCGACCAATAATCGGTCGGACCAATATTCGGACACTTATTTTACACTAACAGGAAAGGTAAAGAGAAGAACTCTGTTTTAGATGGCAGCTGTCCTTCTGCACTTACGTTTCAAGATGGTCGAAAAATGCAGTTTTCGGACAAACCGATTAATTTTCGGACTTTGCTCCAACTCAAACTTAGAAGCAACTGCACAGACTTAAAACTACATCTACACAATGTCCTATGCTCCTTCTAACTAACTTCATAATCTGCAGCTTGAGTATCGTTCCTTCGCTAACGCTGTTGGTGCGGTGAAGGAAGAGCTAAACGCCATCAATAATCAGACATCACGGCCGCCACCGTACTGCTGTGAAATTCAAGCTATTAGAAATGTGTGTTAGCATTGACAAAATCTATATATCAACGAACTCCAGGAATTTACAGTTTAGGCGAGGGAGCACGGAGTCCATACGAAAAGCGTGACTTTTGCGTGATCTTCGCGCATGCGCATTCACGACAGTCCTGACCTCGCAATTCGGACTAAAAATTACATAGCTCAACATATTTAGTCATTAGTTTACAACTTTACATACATCACACAGCCATCTTTCAGGAAGCTTATTCTTATTGAGGTTCACACCGGACATGTGATACCAGTCTTCACATCCATCACAGCACACCATATTCTCATCATAGTCCTCTGGCATCCGGCATTTGCAGAATATTTTAATATTGTGAACCGTAGGAGAGGGTCTTGGTAATGATTCTTCTTGGAAAGGGTTTCAGAACTCCTTGTGACAAGCATTCGTACAGATGGGGTCTCATCTTGGTCTGATCAAATAAAGAATATTGTGGATTCCTTCCGAGGCAAACCTCTACAGCATACGCAACTGCAAATACCCCGCATTTTGTTCGACCTTTCTGCTGCTGCACTGACACATTTTCTATTTCCAAGGTTGAATCTTGAATCCTATAAATCTTGGAAATTTGTAAGATCGTGGAATTTTTAGACTGAGAAAGAGGGACGAACAACAGTTTCTCCTAAAAGAGATTACGTGTAAATATCTGTGCGTGATTGCAATTTTTAATTGTGGTGGGCAGCCACACATATAAATAATTAATGCATATAGTGCGCGCACTCATAAATGTGTATAATTTTGAAACAAATTTGCGCGGTCAAAATATTTGCACTTTCACTATGGCTAGTATATCCAAATTTGCTCTATTTACACTTGTAGTCCAACTTCAAACAACCCGGTGCTAGGAATATACGCTGTATTCTCAGCTGTGGGCTGCGGGCTGCACCGGTATCAGTATTGGACAGGAAGTCCTTATCACAACATCTAGCGCTGGGCGTAGTGCAAATTGTCTGGCTTCCAAAGTTTACACAACAGTCCATTAGTACATTAGTGCTGGATGACACAGCAGAAATTCAGCATTGTGATTGGCTAGTTGGACTACAAATCAGTTAACGTCAGGCGTCTTGGCGCATACAGGAAATCCTCTTCGGCTGTACCGCCTCGCCGCCTATACGTTAACTAATACGTATAAAACATGACCTAGGGCCAGTTTAAGTATTGACCAATGAGATTGGCGGAAAATTCAGGAAATTTCCGTGCACATCCGTTACGCGATACTTATGAATTATTAATAAAGCGTTCTTCTCGGCGGTATATACCGTGTTTATCCGTGAGAGTTTTGGCTCCAGCGATCAACTCTTCCTACAAAATCTGGCATGGAGAGAGCCCCGTGGTCCCGTAAGAGAAAGCTGAAAGCGAACATGCAACAAATGCGCGAGGTAAAGCTCGCAAGACCTGACACCTCAACTTCGCACTCGACAGCCATATCCCACGACCTCTGGATCACAAGGCGAGTCTTCTGAGACCCCTTCTTCGTCTTTACAGGGTATTGCTGGAATTCACGGGCCCGAAATGTCACTGGAGGAGACACTAGACGAGTCCGTGCGCGTGTTCAACACTGTTCAAAAGTAAAAATCACACAGGCGTGTATTTGGATGACTGCGTACTCGGTGTGTTTTGTGTTGTTCAGAAGAACTTCTTTGAATCTTTAGCATAATCCTGTATGTACACTCACAGCAATTTTCAGTTGTAAGTCAAACATTGTTTTCTTGAAATTTCTCATTATGCGCATGTCATAGATTTCATAGATAATTCTAAAATTCACGGAAGTAAAATCTACTCAAAATCTTCTTTGAACAGGTACACCTATATTAGTCCTTTTTAAAAAAAAGTTTAAGAAAAATGTAATGAGGTGAGCTTAAAAATTATAAAAGAGGACTTTTGAAACAAACAATGGTTAATGAGTTTAGGGGGTAGTTGCCATGGAAACAATTTAGTAGTATGTTGGTTAGTTACATCTAATGCCTATTCCAAATATGGTAGGTCACATTTTAATTGAGTTACAGCATATCATATCACACACATGCCTTGTGGACATTAATGAGTGCAAGCACTATATGCGCAGGCAGCAGATTACACAGGAAAAGTTTGTAGCAATCTCATACCCATACTTACAGTACGCCTAATGGGTATATCCACATACTATATAGCTATAGTATATTCCTGTATGGAGAATTTGCACACTTGAACAGTTCTGATCTACTGACTTAAACTTCAGATTGTGGCCAATATGGTGACTTAGAAACCAGCTACGTGCTGAAACTGCACACTCAGCAATGGTTGGGCAGCATTAATAAGATTATCAGTAAGCTCTTCATTGCTCAGTAGTCTCTTTTTATCATCTTCATATAATTTAAGAGCTTTAATCCACCAGTGCACATCCAGATCAATATCACTCTCTGATACATAGAGAAAAAGAAAATCATCATTGAAAAAAATGAGCGTCCTCGCTCATAATGGCTTCTCTGATCCTGCAAAATTATATGTGATTATGATTTTATGCACTTATCCAAATAAAGACCCCATGCATGTATACAGTCAGTGTATGCAAAAGACTCGCGTTTCTTTGAACCTCCTTTCCCAGATGCTTCTGTGTCGTGACTGGAGTCTCGGTGCTCGGGTGTTCCCAGCATGCGCTACAGCTACGTCCATTAACAGGCTTAAATTCTGGAAGGCCTAAATACATGAGCACAATACACACCGGTACAAGAACAATATTATTGCTGTTACACTTACATGTTTTGCTCTTGTCCTTGAGTTATCAATCTTCCTTTTCTCTCTGATTCTTTTTCTCTCTTCTTTTATCAATGCCTCGCTTGTTTTTTGTATCACATTCTGCCCCCAATTTTTCTGTTGGCATATTCTCACGACTTTCAAAACTTTACCCGCTGCTTTTCCTCGGTTTGGTAGGCAAAAGACTACTTGGTACGTCAGGTTTCAACAGGAAATCTTGCTAATGGGTTAGTAGAACAGGGCAGAGGATGTGGGGCAAATTAGACTAGTCCAAGAAGCTAGGTTCTGATCTCGACGTCGTGCAGAGGGACTCCAAGGAAAACTGGAACTTTGAAAAACGAGAGTGAAAGTGGTACGTAGTATCTCTTCCTGTAGGTTGTAGATAGAGTGTTAGAGTGAACGGTTATACTGCGCTATGAACGGGACTCTTGTATGACGAGTAGGGACAAGCTGGATTATACAAGGTATGTATGCTAGTTGGTTTTATCAGGAAAGGTGGATGGCTTAAATTACAGAAAAAACTCATCATCTCAGGTAAAGATTATTGTAGGACCAGGTACTGTTGCTTAAAAGCTGGGTAATGTTTGCAGGCTAATGCCCTGAATCACGCTTTTGCGAAAAAGCTCACAAAATCGAAACGTGACACGGTTCTTCTTGGCTTAGCGCATGGAATTTGTGGCATATATCATACACGCCATTTTTGAGTGCAAACACCCTTATATAAAGGTGGCACAACAAGGAGGAATGACCTCGGCGTTCTTGCAACGCGTTATTGGAGAAATCTTCACAATTCTATTGTAGCGGAATTGGCAGTGCAGCTGCGCCGCAAGCAGCTATCCTACCCCCCCCCCCCCAGACGGTGAGCTCCAAAGAAACACGTGGCCGAAAGTTGAGCACATGGTGACTGTGGAGAATTCCTTCACGTAATTCACTGAACGCCTGCGAAAAGCGGTCGGGATTCAGTAGCTACTGAGGGTGCATAGACGTTGGTGAAGCATGTCTGAAAAGATATTTCGACACTCATAGTGAGCACCATGACAAAAGGGACCTATATGGCTGGAATGAGAAAATTAAGTTTTCACCCTAAAAAACTTAATTTTCCCATTCCAGCCACATTTTCCCCCCTCACATATAATTGCATCTAAAAACATCGCTGCATTGCGCTCATTTTTTCTATTATGCAAGTAGTCGTTAAGGATGGCTACTAGATAAACATGGTTACTTTTCTCTACTGTTCTCCGTTCCTGCAAAATGTGCATCCGAATAATGGTTCGGCCGATTATTGGTCGCTTACTCTCCTGGTATGTGCTTCAAGGAATCAAACACTCACCAGCTCACAGTCCTCGGTTGCCCCGCAGGCCAATGACTCCGGCCATGCGCAATACTTCGCACACTCAAAGACAATGGGCAACGAGCAGCAATTAGAGAGAAGAGACAAGGATGTGTCAGGTGTGGGCAGCTCTGCTGCATGGGTTTCTTCAGATTTATGAGGGCCGGAGAATTCGTAGTCTCCCATGTGTCAGAATTTGACCCGGCAACCTCCTGTGCTTGGGGGACATCGCCGTGGACCATCACCAGGCTCCCTCAGTAGCGGCAAGTGCGCTGAGGTGACTGAAGCTGAGTGAAAACAGACCACTTCATCACAAGGGTCACAATGTACTGCGGCAGAACACAGACGGAATGGTGACCAGTGGTTGACCATTCTGGCATACGTAGAAGAGCCACGACGGGTCAGCGCATTGGTTGTGTCAAGCGATGGTCTCCTCACCCGAAA